TTTTTCTATCACTGCCATTTCCTAAAAGCAGCAAGAACTTAAGTGCTTTAGCACCTCCACGTCCTTGTCAAATTTGGCCACTGTTTTGTGCATGTTAAAAATGTGTCCTGGAAAAGAAGAACCGAGGACAGTATGGTGGCGCAAACCTCATCCCTTTTACAAACCAGGCTAGGCGCAGGAGGAGCCAGAGAAAGCCTATGGCCTCAGCAGCACTACCCCAAATGCATTACATCCTGGTCTAGTACAGTTCTTTGGAAGTCTTCTTACATCCAGACTGAAGGCAGACACTTTCTTGATGGGAATAGCGAGCAGTCCTCAGCTGCAGGACCCCCGACAGACTCCCAGGAGCAGGGCTCCTGCTTATTTCTCCTCTGGGACAGGGGGCCCTACGCTCTTGCTCAGGCTCTGCAAGGACTGCTGTCGTGGTTTAGGCTGACCCAGCAACTAAACTCCACACAGCCGCTCTGACCTGGCTCCAAAACCAGGGAAGTCACAGGGAGCAAATCCCCTCTCCTGCCACCAGAACCCCCCTACATCAAACCATCACAACTGCACAGGACCCTGCAAGCCCCCAGTGGCTTACAAACGTTCTGTCAGGAGACAATTAAGGAGATGTCAGATTTCTAGTTCCATGCTTTGAAGTACACAATAGTTAGAAAGGGCAGATTCAGCAAAAGGCAGCTTCTTAGCCAAATACACTTAATCTTTAACAAACCCAAGACAGGGTAGATGCCTCTGGAAAGCACATTCTTTTGTACAATACCCTCACTCAGCTTGGGTCTGGATGTTCTACGCATCTGGCCTGGCCTGCTTATTCAGAATTTTCTGCCATAGGGTAAACAGCTGCTTTTGTTCCTTTTGTACCAGCCTTCCCACAGAAGCATCTTAATCAGAAGTTCACTTTCTGCATACAGTCCATTCAAATGCACTCACCAGGCACAGCTACTGGCCCTTAAGGCCACAGTAATTTGAAGCAACTCTTCTTGGCTGCCTTGAATTTTAGTCCTTGTCCTGCAGATCACGTTCCAATGAGAAGTATCAAGCTATAAAATCTTATTACATAATCAGAGGCTACACCAAATATTACAGAAAAACCACAAACACAAAAGAAAAAAGATAAATTTATTCATCAAAGCAGACTGCCTCTGAGCCATCGCACATTCCATGGAAGAGAAGACTTACACTATTCCCCATGTCTCATCTCCCCTTCCCTCCTAGCAATGCAAGATCTCTCCTCCTCTGGAGAGAAAGAGGACATACATGTTCTTAAAACATATACATACTGGTGAACACTGTTTAAATGGTGAGGTCTTTTTATCAGAGCAAGCCAGACATTTAAGAGCCTGCCAACTTTCACTAGGACCCAGGCTCTGATAACATCACTTGCATTCCTCTGCAGATTAAGAGTTATTAAATGACCTACTTCTGCCACGAAATTTGAAAATTATTCCCATGCAGGCTTTGGCAAACACAAGTTACAAATTCTGGTTTTCTGCTCATTCTGCTAGTGACTATTTTCTTCCTTCTTACCCACCCAACATAACCTGCCTGACATCATAGCAGCTGGATTTCCCCGACACTATGGAGGGCAGATGGGTCAAGCATCAAGAGAACCTCAGTCTTGAGAGGCACCCTTCAGCAGTGCCACAACATCAAGTTATTCACGTAACTAAGTGAACAAGTAAGGGCTATTGATTTCGTATGGTGCAGCACTTCCATCGCCCTTGCAAGCAGCACAGCAGCACTTTAACTGCTGCTGCACAGTGGTGCCAGCAAATAGAGCTGACAGGACTAAGCCAACCAGAAGCACTTAATTTTCAAGGAAGGAAAAAAGAGTTTTGAGTATTCATTACAAATGGAACCTGCCCACATTCTGGAATGATTGTGCCAGCATGTTTCTGTCTCCCCAGGTCTTCTATCACCCTCGTTACCATAGCATCTGAAAGTGCTGAAAGATAAATACAAACTCCTTGCAGCAAGGAGTTATGTCCTGCAAACCCCTTCACAGTGGAGAAGGGCAATTCAGTTATTAGTGCATGCTTGTATTTCCAAAAAGCTTTAGACAACGTTCCTTATCGGAGACTCAAACCATTTTACTAACCTGAAATACTTTATTGAAACAACCTTTCTGGAATCAAGGCTTACTCCGACAGTCATACACTGGGCATTTATAGAATGATAAGGCCAAGCTGCCAACACAAGGCAACTGCTTTTATCCAGTAACTGCACATCCATTTGAGAGAATGTTGGAAATGCTGGAAGAAAACATATTTTAGTTCCCCTCTCTCTTTTCCTTGTTCTTTATCTGTACTTGGACCTCTCTTTGTCTTTTGATTTCTTAGGACTTCTGCTTCTGTCTGCTTTTTTATCCCAGTCTCTTATTCTGGAGTCTTCTTTGTATTTGTCTCTTTGTTTGCTGTAAGCGTAGTCTCTCTCTTGAGATCTGCTGCGACTCCGATGCCTGTCTTTCTTCTCACTCTTCATCTTCTCTCTACATTGTTCTCCTTCATGTTTTCGATCAGAATCCTGTTAAAGGAATTTGATAGACACACTGTAACAGACAAAAGGGGACAACAAACCAAGACATGAAGAGAACTAGAAAAGAGTCAAGTACGGTCGGTTCCTTTAGCTAAGGCTGGTACTACCTGAAATAGATTCACATCCACGACGATTTGAAAAAAGTAACACATTAAAAACCCCCACTGTGACTCTACAAAAAAGGTAAGTCTACAGCTTTTGTCAGCATTTATGGAAAAAAGCACGGCTGCCAGGCATGCTGCTGCTTGTATTTCCTAAGGAGCTTTAGCAAAACCTGGTTATATCAGGCATTCAGCTCAGATGGGTATTATCAGACTCTTCATAAGCATCATACAAGCTTCTAAGCTAGACTTGGATTTTGACTTCTTATCTAAGCAATGGAAGTATTTCAATCCTAGATTTTCGTTCAAGCCTCACAGCCATTCCAGTGCTATGAAGATGCAGAATACTTTTTAAGACCTGCCTTTAATAATCCCTAATGGCCTGAATTCTAGGCTTCGGAAAAATGAACAACACTGTTACAAAGACTAGAACTACACGCACATAAACTACTTCACTTCCTTGAAGCTAGAAGTCCACAACACAAGGCAACACAGAGAATTCGATCCTTCTACATGTACAGTCAAACAATAGTGAGGTAATGAAAAATTGGTTGTGTTTTGCAGGCTGATGGGTATGACCCATACAGAAAACACATGAGGATACACTCATACACAGACATCGTAAGCTCTAAGGGGTACAAGTCTGTCTATTTTAAAATGGCCTAAAAAGGACAAGTCAACAATATGTACTACAAGTAGTAATGGTGTTTCAGCACACACACACAAACTCTTAAAAAAAAAAAAAATGCAAGTTCAGGTAGCCAAAAATGAGGGTATTTTTAACTTTCCTGGCTTGCTGCATATTGTCACCAAGAACGCTGACTGACTGGCCCAGCACACAGAACAGACTTCTCTGGAGAGAAATGAGGTTTATGTAACAAAGGAGGAATTGCTGTCAGTAGAACACCTGCCTTGCGTGTTGCACGAGGCAGACAGCATGAAACCACAGAGACAGTGTACAGGTAAATGAAGGCAGGATGGCTTAATTACTCAGACTGTGAAATGTCACGCTAACAAGACTATGGCCCAGTACGTGCTAGAACAACTATGTGGAGACACCAACACACCGTACAGGCCACAGCATCACAGCAATTTTAAAAGTAAAAAAAATAAAGACCGCTTAGAAAGTTGCCATTTCATTTCAAGGAAGGTTTCTTTAATACACAACACTGAGTTTTGACATGTGAACTCCTATCATTTTCAGGCACTGCTAAAAACTATTTTGATCTTATCATTCAAATAAGATATACAGTAAAACAAAATGCAAGAGGAGTTTCAGAATCCTGCAGAAAGATTTTTATATAACTTAATAGTAAGAAGGTGGTTGGCACTTTTGTTTTGAAGGTACGATCACTTGAAAGTTTAGTATCACTATATGCTCTAGTAGAGAAATACCATTTTGTGGGATTTTAATAACACCTCTATTAAACATAGATCGTTATCAACTATGAAAAATGTCTGCATTAAATGTCTTAATTTCAGATATGATTTTCATTTTTTAAAATATGTACTTGTGACAGCAGCATTCACAATAGTACAGCTAAAACCTAAAATGCATGTAAAAATAAGCCTCTTTGTGGCAGGGCCCGAGTAAACATCAGAAGATGGACAGACTAGTGATGAAGTAGAGAGGAACAAGACAAAAATATTGGCCAGAAAAACAGATGGTGGGCTTGGTGCACCGCTGCCTTCTACCTGGTTTGCTGCTTAAGTTTCCTCCCAGCAAAAGGACAAACAGGAGAAAAGCAGAACAGCATTTAGATGAAAAATCTACCAAGACAAGACTGGAGATAGGCTACTGGTCAAGTCAAGGCAGAGGATAGGTTAGTCAAGACTTGGAAGTGAAGACAAATAGCTTACATTGAACGCCACAGAAAAGGGCAACTTGCTGAAAGGATTAAAAAAGGTCCTATGAGCATGGAGCCAGCAAAGCACAATGACCTTCAGGGAAGCATTTACAGTATAGATGTACAGGACAAGTCTGAAAGTGCCACAAAAAAGCTGTCACAGTAGCTAATGTGATCACAGTGTGAAGAAAAAAATGTAGTAATTTGAATTAATAGAATGAATTGCATCTTTGTTCCCCCTCAAAAAATGATTACGTTTCCCCTTAAATAAGATTTTACCTTTAAGTTTTTGCACAGAAAAAAGTCAAGTTTTTAAACACTGTAAGTTACTAAAAATAATGGTATTTTGAAATCAAATCTTTTATGCCCTAAGTCAGAAACATGTTGTTTTCACATTGGAAGAGGAAGAAAAGGATTCCTACTTAAAAACAGGCTCTCTCTTACTGCTGAAGTCCAGATTTCTCAATCCAGGATCACAGCCTGTTATCAATGAGTAAGTGACGATCATCCCAATTCCTAATCCAGCACTGTGTTGGTGAACTCATATGAGGGAGGAAATATGAAAAGAGAAATATGAACTTCCACTTCTCTGGAAGTTCATGGCTGGCTTTGCCAAAAGTAGTAACTTGCCCAACTGCACTTGCAGATAAATCAGCTAGAAATACCACAACCACAAAAGTAGAACAAATATGCCACGTTTACATACATTAACCACACAAATTAAAGGTTAAAAGAAGCAAACAGAGACAGCCTTTTCAGAAGAGAGATTTTGATCAAACTTGACCCTGAACACAAAGATAACAGTGTCCAGTAAGCAATAAGAGCAGGAAATTAAAACCAGAAAAATCAGTATCTTTGCCAAAACCATGCACTACAGAAACCTGAAAGTCAGGAATCCCTTATGTCTCACAAAAATCACTTGGATAGGCTATACTCCTCCACTCATCCAGTTATCTTAACAAAAAAAAAAAAAAAAAAAAAGAGAAATCTAAGAAACCGAAAAACAGAGAGAAAACTGGAAACAGGACAAATTCAAGATCTCAAGCAGACGCGTGATCTGTATTCAAAAAAAACTCTACCAAATCCTATTCACAACCCACATGGTAGTGCAGCCTCCTGCTCCAGACCAACATCCTGTTACCTACTAAAAGCAAGCAACACCACCCTACCTCTTCTACCCTTTGGAATCAAGTCAAACAGCACAAGATTCAAAAAATATTCTTAAAACATCAAAAAGGCTGATATTCTGGAAACGGGCGTCAGACTAAGAAAAGGATGAGTCAAAATATACTAAAGAAAAAAAAAACAGCGAGAGAACAGAAAAACAACTCAACATCATGGAAACTATTCAGAAAATAAAACTCCTTCAGTCATAGCTGGAGCTGGTAGCACAAGCTGCAGTTTCACTTACCAGAACTTACCATTACAAGACCCTGTTCTCTGTTAATTAAAATCTGTCACACTAGAGGCTCAGGGTAGAAGTTTATGTACAAAGCATGGCTATTGTGGTCTTTGGCCAATGGGTTGTGGAAGGTCTGCTGTTGTTTTGTTTTAAACTTCTTACCTCAAACATACTCCAATATTTCTAAAATAGGGTTAAAGAAAAATGTTTTGTTTGCCTATACTAAAAATGCTAGCATTAATCAGTAAAGTTTCCACACTGTTATGCTTTGTCCTGGTCTTGGTATTCACACTGAACAAACGTTGCCTCAAGAAAGAACATGCCTCTTTCTCCTGTTCTTGTATGAGTTCCCCGGATTATGCCCAAATTATAAAGAAATAAATAAATAATAAAAAAATCCTAAATATGATTGGTCAGCTAAACTGCCTGCAGATTTCATCTGGAAAGAGCCAGGCTCAAGACACCTACTGAATCTCTAAATCAGACTGAGAACACACTGCTCAGTATGTACACACTATACAGTACCTACTAACAAGAATATTCAAGTAGACACAGAGAAAGACTTTTCCCATAAATTCACTTTCACAGCTCAAAGAGGGAATTATGTTGTTTGCCATCAGAGAACAGAAGTAAGCCTCCATCTGCGATTTTGGGCATAAGGCCGCTAAGCTATTTACACCAAAATGGGTAAAGGTGAGCAACAGAAAGGAAAGCAGTGCGAAAGAAGGAAGATACTGGAATGCAGTACCAGCAGATTACAGGAACAAACCACAACAGGAGCAGGTGAATAAATCACAGGAAGATGTACAGAGACGCAGAAGAGATCACAGAGTCAAGCATTAGAAAATACTGTTTTCCAGAACCTAGAAATAGCACCGGGAATCCCTCTGTCCTGATGTTTTTGTGCCATGAAATCCACTGCTAATGTGTCTTGCAGTCCCCTTGTAACAATTACAACATACGGAGGGTAACAGCCTATTGCTGCCTGTATTTGTTGTACCACCTGCAGGGGTGGAGACATCCAAATGATTTTAACATGTTCTCTGCTAATAACGCATGATCAGCCAGTTCCACACATGAAATTTCTGAACCATCAAGAACAAAGACTACTTCCAGAAATATTCGTTTCAAGAACGTTAAAGTGACAATGTCAATCAGCCAAAAAGACAGGAGGAAATCTAAATCAACATTGGTTCAGACCTCTCATATTAGCATACAAACGGTGACAAAAAGACTTGTACCACAAATGAGAAATAGGGCTTACTGGTGGCACTGAAAAAATTTAACTGCTAACATTCATGAGAAAAGTTATTTTTAGCATCACAGCAAGAAGTGATAAAATGGAACAACCGAATTATGTACGCTCTCTGTACACAGAACTTAAAGCAGTACTCAAAACTCATGCCAGGACAACGGCTTTATCTACTGTGGCTGGAACCTTATCACTTTCTGCAAAATTGCTAGAAGACAGCTTTGTTCTCACTCATAAAGCTTGCATTGTTAAAATATTGGGGTTTGATTTTTTTTTTTTTTTCAGCTTAGCTCAATTCTCCCTAATGCTCACACTTCAGTGGTGGTTAACCCTCCACTTAATCATTGCAGACTTTGTTTCCATGAAACATCAACATCTTGACTATCCCAAGTTCACAGAAACATGAGAATGCTGACCTGACAGCCCGCAGTGGAACTAGTGAACGACAGAACTACTGTCTTTTGTCCACAGTCCGAGTCTTAGAGCACTGTATGCTTGCACAATGCAGATGCAAGCAAACCTACATACAGATTTTACAAAAATGTTTCCAAAACAGCTAAGGAAAAGTAAAAAAGATAATACAATGAGATTACATTTCTGATTCCATATGGGAAAAAGCCAACACATGCTGGTCTGGCAAGAAAATGAGAAATAAGTCTGCATTCATGAAATATGATTAACTACTAGTTTATGACTGGGAATATGTGAACAACAGGTTCAAAGTGCTGAAGATCTCCTACTTTATGAGAGGCTACATTGACTCTTCAGGATGTTTTGGCAAAAAGCCATTCAGACATGCCAAGCTTCAAAAGTCCAGGAAGATGTGCAAAGCCTCTTTCATAATCAGATATTAACATCAGCCCTCTGTACGTTTACAACTGCTCTATTTTATGGGACTTTCCAAGCCATGTCCTCAGTTCACCATCAGACTTTTTTCCCCCTGGTTTGTCTTACCAGGAGAACAACAAATGGGTATAAAGTTAATGCACAAAGAGGTTAGTACCTTAGATTTTTTGGTCCTCTTGTCATCCTCTTCATCTTCAGAGTGGTGGTGCTTCTTCTTCTTTTGTTTTTTAGCCAAGTGTGACTGACTTGTATGAGACTCTTCTATATCCTCATCCAGCACAAGGTCATACTTGGCACTGAAGGTGTTGGTTAAGGACAGATCTGTTCCTTAATATCAATAAATAGCAGAACATAAAAGCTCACAAAGCAAACCAACACTAGTTTATCAGACCCGGGTTTACCAAGATTTACTATGCATTTCAGTCAGAACAGGATCCTATACATTGAAAAAAATCAGTTGTGCTAGAATGACTGAACTCTGTCCTGTCAAACGGTCCAGTCAGGTCTCAATTCTTCTTTCTTTTCTGCTTGTGGATATCTGAACAAGCTATGGTCTTCTCTCATGCTCACCATAAGCAAAGTAGAACTGCAGAGCATGCTTTAGTTACTACTATGGTCTCATTTTGGATGCAGCATGTCCCTTGTGAAACTACTTAAAACTCTGCTATGCCACACGCCATTCCAGGGTTTTGGACTGGGAGCATGATTTACCCACACACAACATGGAAGTGAAACAGCACATTCTGATTCGACCAAAGTCATCAAATGAAAAATGCAAAATGCTTAATACCATCTCAAACATCAAATGGTTATATGAAGCAGCAGCAAAACGCCCATTTGACAAGCTTTAAGAACAAGAAGTCTTTTCCAGGATGTTTTCTTAAACTGTACTTAGTGCAAAAAATACCTTTGACCAGAAAAGGATACTCCTGCTTTGTTTTTACCTTCTCTTTCAGAGCAAGTTTTGAAGGTTTGTCACGTTCCTTCTCATACTCTCTGAAATCGTCCTTGGTATACCGCCCACCTGTTCAGAGAAAATATACTCAGTTCACTCCAACTGAAAAAAAAAAACAAACAACATCCACACCTATCACTAAGTTCTGCTTATGAATTTAAGGGCTCTTCATAGCATGATACAGAGATTCACAGCAGGATACAGTTCCAGAAACAACACTGACATCTGGGTAACAGAGCAGCAGAGAGGAGGACAGCTGTGATTTTCTGTCCTTCTCTTGCTTGCAGATCCCATTAAACAACATCTGGCTTTCTCCTCACTCATGTCCAGTGGAGAAAACGCATGAACAAGATCACAAAGTAGGATTTAGTAACTAGTCCCACTTTGATTACAGGTCCTATGTCACACTACTTAAAATTCTGTTGCCATGAAAGCCTACAGACTATTCTTATTATTAAATGACTTTTTGCTCTGGGCTGCACAAAGGGAAACCTCCAAGACAACTACAGCTTAGGAATTTAAATGAAAAACTATAAAAAAAATTGTAATGTCTTGATTTAAAGGGGGGCATTACAGATTCCATTTTCATTCCATTCGCTCCAAAGTATCAGCTCATAGATGAATAAACTATTCTACAGCAAGGCGTGCTGCCATCTCACGGTAATACTTAAAACTGCAATATTAACTGACTAGGTCAGAAACGGCTACTGAAGGGAGAAGGACAATACTTCCCAAGGGTCATTTTTTGGGCACCACGTGAGCACAACAAGACGACAATATAGTTAGCTTTCCAATATGTAGGTCAATTTAGACCTAAGTTACCCAGATAAGGAAAAGTTTTCCATGTAGTCAGTTAGTACAGGATGCACTGCAGAGCATAGTATAGATTACAAAGTGATCTCAGCTCTATGCAGGGCAAGTTCTAGTACCTCAGTGTCCATGTCTAGTGCCCAGCCTGGAGAAATTGTATGCAAACAATTGAGGGCTGACAGCCTGTTTAGGCAAAGACACACAAGAACATCACCACTGCAATGCACAGTCACCTCTCCAAGTCCAGTGTTTTCCTTGTGTCCCCAACAACCAAATAATCATCGTGTCCACCTCTCCCACCACCTTTTTCCAAAAAAACATCCTCAAACATCTGAAATTGGGGTTTATAACACATAGCCTGCTATGCAATATGCTTGACCTACCGGAGGTGAGGAGGGGAAATCCCTGGCCTGAATACTGACGACTTCTTGCATTCACTCAACTGTCATACAGAAAGTATGTTACAGAAAGTAACAACGTGCTGTCATATTATTTTGCTAATAAGTAATATAAAACCCCATCACTTTTAAAGCTTGAGAGGAACAAATGATTTACTGGTAAAGATACACCTGATAAAAAGGCAATCCACGTCAACCTAACATTAATGTAACAGTAGCAAACCCTTCTGGTCTTTCACATGGAACAAGCGAAGCCAAAAGCTAGCAACTGGGCTGCTCTATTTACTACAGTACTGTGGAGAAACCTTTTGGCTGCTGCAGCATCCTGTGAAAGTTGTTTCCCTGTGTAGGCTAACTAAGAAACACCTGTAGCTCGTTACATTGGGAAAGTTGCCTTGAAACAGGTGCTGTAGCATTCAGCCAATCACTCTGGGAGATGGATGGTCAAGTGACCAATAGCCTTGACCCATCTAGCAAACCATGTGACTCCTGACTATTTAAGGCAGGGCGTTTACTCCTAAGGGTGAGGCATTTCCTCCTGAGCCTTGGAGGAGTGTGGGCCTTCCTTAGAGTAGAGCCTAAAGCCTTCGCATTAGAACATTGGTCTGCTTGGAGCTGCCTGAAGCCTTCCAGCTGCGACACAGTACCAGGAAAATTTGTATCCCTGAAGATGAGATGATTTAAGCTCATAACAATTGCTTCTCTTTATATAATACTTACAGTTCAGAAGTCATGGCTTATTAAGTTATCTAACAATTGCTTCTCTTTATATAATACAGTTCAGAAGTCATGGCTTATTAAGTTATGAGGATCCAAGAATCTCAAGTGTACCTACCTTTTCCCTTCCACTTAATCTTTGCAACAGACTGGCTAAAATCCACATGTATCCGTCTGTCATCTATCAGCACATTGTCCATTTTGAAGTAGGCTTTCTCACAGTCTTCCTCCTGATATTAATGTTTCCAGAAAATTTTGAGTCATGATTATTTCACAGGAACATTCAGTGAAGAGCTCAAACACAAACTCAACTACTTAATGGCATACGTTTTTTTCTAAAATTGTATAAAGCACAGCAGTCCTTGCACTGTGTCATTTCAAAAGAAATAGTTATGCTTTGTGTGAATGTAAACACTTCAAATTCCATTTCTTCAGTTCATTTGAATCTAGCTACGTGTTTGGCACATGCAATACATTCAGAAAAACAAGGAAAAAAAGGACAACTAATAAAAGTTCCATTTTAAACATGGAAGTGGGCTAAAGAAAAGTTAGAACGCTTTTCCAGTGTTTTCCAGTTTCCCTCACAGATTACAGAGATCAGCAGATACAAATGAGAAACTATGCACCATCAAGGGAACTTTTACTATCAATCTCACAGTAAGAACAGCATGTTGATAAAGCAAGCAACACTTACAAGCCCAATATAAGACACTACTGCACACACTGATCTACCTTCTTTCATATATCCTCCTCTCTTTATGCAGCATGCCTCCTTTTTTTCCCTAGCATTTCCATATTTAACTCTTCAAAGTCCTAACTGCTCTGGGGAAAAACAAGGACTCACTTTCCTCCCACTGGTTTCAAGACAACTTAAGAAGAATATATTTGCATTGCTTGGTTGAATACAGAAAGACTTAAATGCTTCCCTCATTTAAGACCTACAACTTCTATAACTGAATCAGTAAGAGCAAATACTATCTACCCCACACTTGAAGATCTCACTGTTTTCCTTAATGGAAGTATGCCAACAATGAGCTTTTACAAGCAGAATCTATATACAGTATACCTAAATAACATACCTTTTCAAACTCAATGAAAGCATAACAAAGAGATTCACCGGTCTTCCAGTCTCTAATAACTTCACAGCTGAAAAATTGATATGAAATGAAAATGTCAATGCTGTTAGCAAAAAATGTAGGATAGGCAAGCACTGTTTAAAAGGGAGAGTAAGAGTTTAAAAAAACCAAACAATAAAAAAACCTTAAAGACATTATAAGGGAGAGTAAGAGTTTAAAAAAAACCAAACACAATAAAAAAAACCCTTAAAGATATTATAACACTTTATTCTGAGACTCTTACTGATGTGGTAGTGTTTGCATAGAAAAAACACATGTGGCATTACTTGAGCAATTATTACACTTAGCTCAAAAGTTGTTAACATGAAGTGTAGAACTAGGGATGAATTTCTGAGTAATGAAACAAAATCTGTTGTCCAACACTACTGTTTGTTACTAATTTTTTGCAGTGCACTAATGAAAAAGAAGTTTCACATTCTGTTTTCTCAGTCATTTTAAGGAAAGTTTAAACAGACACCACATGACAAACTTTCTCTTCTTATCAGGCAGTTCCCTGGCCACTCTCAGACACAAAATGGGAAAGATCCAGTATTGCATCAGTATTACTGAACTCTTGTATTCGACACGAGAATTCTGACTCCAGGATGTTGCCTGTCTGACCTCCTACCACAAGGGTAGGACACGTGGCATTAAGGTGAGATTTAATAAGGTGAGACCTCTCCCATGTGTACTGAGGAAGTAACAAATCAGGATTAGGATACGCAATCCAAAAGATGATCAAGATCAAATAAAAAAGGAAAATATAAGGTTATTCAGACGAGCTATATGAATTCTTTGCAGCAGCCATCAGCAAGGAAGAAGGTAGGACAGTCTTGTACCAGAACCCTCTTTTGTGGATTATTCAGAGAATCTATCTGAAAGCAGAAAGACTGCAGAAGAGGTACTAAACGAACTCGTAGAAAAAAAAAAAATGTATAAGAAATTCCTAGGACATCCAGAAATCATGCTGGAGTTGTTAAAGAGTGGCAAACACAATGCCAATTTCACTCATACACACACAGACAGTCTAGTGAAGGATCTGGGAGTCCACAGGCTTGTATGCCAGTACTGCACAAACTGGTAGAAACTCAACACAGAACAGTTAGCATGCATCAGAACAAAGAGGACCTACTCAAGATCATCTGAATAAATCTAAGTGAAGTTCTCTGAAAGAGTCAATATGCTTATGCAAGATGATGATGATCTATTTCATGCAGTCTTTCGAAATCCCTCTGGAAATTCTAACAAGCTCCTTCACCAAAGGCTTTTGGGGAAACTAAACAGCAATGGCATAAGAAACATCTTTGCACTGACAAACATGTGAAAGACCAGGTAAGAGTAAATTTCTCACTTCTCACTGAGAAAGTAAAGAGGTCACCAGCAGAGTTTGCTGACAATATTGAATTGTTAAAGGTGGCAAAAATAAAGACTGAGAAAATTGCAGAAAGTTCTTAGGAGACTAAATGAACAAGAAGACAGCAAATGATGTTCCATGTAGATAAACGCAACAAGATGAGCATGAGGGGCAGAATGGAAATCGCACATTGTTAAAAAAAAAAAATAATTCACATTAACTAGAAAAGGAGCTGTGAGGAAAGCAGAAAATACCATCGTGCCACTGTAAATCTGTAATTTCTTTAATACTGTGTGCAGTTATAGTCCTCTCATCTTGAGATGAAAACAAAAGAACTAAAATAGGTTGATAAAAGGGAAATCAGGTAAGAAAAATTCCTCTAAAAAGCGCAAGTATGTAGGCTAGTACTCAGGGAGAAAAAAAGATGACTTCAGGGTATAGGATAGAGCGGTGTAGGAAAGTAGACTTTGCTGCCCATCATGTCTTTTGATGCCAGTACTAGGAGGAATCAACTGAAACTAGGAGCCAAGTTCAAAACTGAAAAAGGCAGCAGGCATGAGGAACATCTTAACAAGAAGTATATCGGATGCCAGAAATGTTTGTCACTTTATCTCAAAACCATACGTATTCCCATGGAAAAAGAAAAACCGAGAGACTATCTAGCTCATGTAGCATCTGAGATAAAACTGCTGAAAAGAAGGAGAAGATGGGGGGCTGTGGAGGGTATCATATGATTTCCTTGTTCCTGCACTTCCCTAGGCTTTCACTTAAAACCACTGCTGGAACAGGATACTCATCTAGCTAGATCCAACTTTTTATCACCATTGTTGTGGTCTCTATCCAAATACACGCAGGTGCAGGATAAATCTCCAGAGACATTAGAATACTACTCAACAGCCAAACCTAAAGAGACTGGTTGAATCAAGTTCAGTTTCAACAAAGAAGGTTTTTTATTTTACAATAATTACCTTTTAATGGGACCAAATCGTGAAAATATTATCTCTAGGTCTTCATCTGTGGTCACAGGATTCAGTTTACAAACAAACAGCACATTTTCTGGTGGCTTGACATCTGCATCTGGTAAGTCTCCCACCTGTGGCATTCAGAAAAAGACTTTCATCACTTCTGTCCAAAGCTCTCTACATTTTACTGTCACAAGCACACTGGCAAAACATCTTTTGGATGATCTCAGACACATTTCTATCACAAAATCAAAAATTAATAAAATATTTTTCCTACTCAATGTCACAAAAAAATTCGTTTTCCACAGTATCTAAAAAAGATCATCTATTTGCAATTCCACCACTGAGACTTCATGAAAGTCACAAGTACTTTCTACTTTGCTTTCTCTGTTCGTAACATAACAAATACACAGCTCTAAAAGGGGCAGGTGTACTTTTAGAATGATTCTTATTTAAAAAAAAAAAAAAAACCTAGATCCATTTATGCTTTACTAAGAAACAACACTTGTTTACAGCACACACAGCTTTAACGTTTGCAATCTTTTATCAAAATTCCCGTCCTCAAACTAGCAAACGAAGTTATAGAGGAAAATGCAAATACACACACCACCTCCTGTTGAGCTGTAGCACTTCTTTTTAAAACCTGAACAAGAGACAATTTATCCCCATCTTTTACTTAACATGCTAATAAAAAGGTAATGCATATTAGTTTCATGGCAGAAAGAAGCAGATTCCACCAGAGAGAACACAAAAGGAGTTTAAGCACATGACACTCTCAGCGAAGTTTACTGTTTTGACAGAAGAACAATGGAACTAATAGTTGGGGTTTTTCAAATCAGTGAAACTAGAAGCATACTTAGTTTTTCACTCTCAGAAAACAACTGCATTGGCTCACATAGCCCACTTGCTTTTTTTAGCTAACCTTAACTGTATCTGGAAAACAGGTCATTAGCCCCACTGCTGCTGCGAAACAAGAGCCACACCTGCAGATCATCTGCAACACTGCGGCCACATCTAGACTGATCCCAGCGTTAGTCTCCGCTGCAAACTACCCACCGTAAATTTGAATTTGGTAGTTGTAAAGATGGATTGACTCATCCTTCAACACTGTGTGTGCTTTTTTTCTTTTTAAAAAAAAAACAAAACCAACAAACTTCAAAGTCTATTCACAATTTTTGTTACTATATGAGGTTTACAACTGCCAGCAGTTACCAAATATTATATTTAAGAAGGAGGAACATAAAGTCAACCAATGTTAAATCCAACTAATCCCACAGAAGGAAGACAATCATTATATACACATGAATAATGCAATCTCAATGCCACTATATGCACTGGGAAGAGACTATCTCAAATTAGCTCAGCTCTCTCCCACACATGCTAAACCTTTTCTAAGATTAAAGATATTCAGCAGCATATTACGTATATTATGTTTTTTAATTGGATGTATTTATAGCAAGTTTTTATAAAGCTTGCACTGGTCTACTTTTAATTCTGCCTTTGAAAATGAAATCTCGGTTTTATTGGAAAACCACCTCCAGTGTTCATGCCCAATCCTTTTCATTGTACCACAGACATTTAATAGCACAGATTATGAGCCATGACATCATCACCAGATGAGCAATTTCAAAATAAAGAGTACACATCCTCCTAGACTTAATACTACATGCAAACACAGAGGAATAACATCTAAAAGGTAAACACAGAAAGACGTTCACCATTTCCAGAAGAATGGCACGAGTTTTTGCTTCTTTTTCTGCCTGAACTTCTTCTATTTCATCTGCAGACCGTCCTTTCAAGTCATCAATTTCTTCATCTGCTCCTATTCTGCCACTCTGAAACATGAAGGGAAAAGCTATTTATTACCGAGCCATGGCCAAAAATTCTTTCTCACTTTCCAAATATTACTTGGATGACCTCCTCCCTCACCTCCCAAGACATGAAAAATGTTTAAGCACTGGATCTCTGCAAAACTGGGCTTTTGTCCTGTTCTTCCCACTCAGATTAAAAAAAAAATAGAGAAGTTATCCTCATGTGTTTCAGGCACTATGACCTATGTATGAACTTTCAGGCCTGATTTGAACCATATTCAGTTAGATATTCTAAATTCTTTTTACTCCCTTCTCATACTCAACATCTCACCACAAGCATCAACTCATGTCTAATCTACATAGCTAGAAATGAAGGAACACTGCAAATATCTGTGCTGTCTAATAAGACTCAAACATTAAATACAGTATATCACAACAAGAATTTTATTTTTACACATCTATGTCTAAGCAGGATTTGAGGTTTAATTTTTTCTCTTCATCAGCATCTCTAGAGTGCTGCCCTTCTTACAGACATTTCCACACCAAAAGGTGTATCTTCAGACAGGCTATGGGGGAAGAAAACTAAGTATAAGCTTTCAAATCTCTACACAGTTGGCAGTAAGCTATTAAACTCTTTATACCATTCTGAAGGTTCATCAGAGATTAACCACAGTGCAGACGTACTATGAAAGCCTAATTCCAATCTTGTAATTATATCCATTAAGCTTAAAAACAAACAGTATTCTCTCTAGTCAAGTTATTCATTGCTTGAAACAACTGTTTCCATGTAAGGAGATAATCTCACACAGCAACCTCCATAACTGCATGCTACGAGTAAGTTATGAATAATTACTATTTTATTTTTAGCAAACTCCTCCTGTTTGATCAAATACACCGCAACAGTATGCATGACTGCAGATGTAACTCAGAGAATGGCCAAGACTACTTCCACTGAAATACAGACTATCTCACATCTAAAAGGAAAACAGCAGTAAGCACTTTAATATTAATAAACGTTAGTTATATTTTGTCTTCTACCAGAGCACACAAAAAAAAAACCAGTAACGTCAAAGGTGAATATTCTGATTGTTCTGCTTAACTGCACTGTAATTAAAAATCTAAAATACGGCTTTCCAACATAAGTCACAAGGGAGAGCACTCCAGTCACCCTTTTATCCTTTTCTCGAAAGATTACATAGCTTTATCTGATTAAACGCAGTAATAGCCCCAAATAACAGACAAGCATTTGACATATCAGAACTAAAGCTGGCATAGTAGAAAAGCATCTCTTACCCTCCTGTGCTAAAAATGTGTAGTTCTTTTGGGATATAGATTCGACAGAGAAAAGTCTTAAAGATGGAATTCTTATTTGACCAAGTCTGTGCTGGCCACTAATAAGGATAAGTTCATCTAATTATTTCTTCCAATTTTTCCCCAAGAAGTTATCAAAAACACTCACATCTAGCTGTTCCTTAGTAGGTTCTGGTGAGCGATCAGGAACAGACAAGCCAGGTGGATCTTCAAATGGATCATCTAAAATTACTGTATGATTTATCCTTACAGAAAACAAAATCAAGACCAGCATCAGTCACATGCAAATAAAACTTTCTTTACCCAAGTAAGAGGAAACCAGCCCCGCTGATTCTCATTTATATCTCAAACAGCCAAACATACTGTATGCTTGTAAATACTAGTACTGATGCTTTCCTAAAAGCAACATAGTTGCACATTTTCTTATATAGCTGTTTATTTTAGTACCTGCTTATTTTACTAATAATACTGGAATAAAAGAGTATTTAAGATACCCTGTACAGGTCACCTGACATCGTTATATTAATCTAGTTTCTAAAAAAAATGATGAATTTGTTTGATTATAATGCATTCCTCAAAAAGGGAAGTTAAAAGCAGTCACACCTGATATCTTGATACGGGATAAAATCCTTATCTACAAAGGTTTCATTAATTGTCTTCAATACATCCATGCCTTCTGTCACTTCTCCAAACACTGTATGCACACCATCAAGGTAATCCAGGTTTTCCCCCGTAGTAATAAGAAACTAGAAAAGAAGACATAAAACTAATAGCAGTAAATAGAAAAATTCAGGGCTTGAGTTTTACCTCAGGAGAGGTACAACTCTCACTGAAATCAGTGAGGAAGAAAACCCAAACCCCTTCCTGACTTCTGCGGGAGAAAATTAGTTTTCTTCCATTAGATTTGAGAACATGGTGAGCCAACCCACGGTTCACTGCCACTGCCTGAGGAAGAGAGAGGCTCTCTCACACAAGTCTTCCTCTGCACAAGCTCGCAGCTCCAGCTCATTGGACCCCCTGTGAATTGATATGACTCAGTAGCCTGGCAGAACACCGGACCGGCAGAGGAAGAGCAGGTAGTTACCTGCCAGGTAGGTTTGTTGAACAAGATCAGCAAAGGATGTGACAGACATCACAGTGATGAAAAGGAGAGGACAGAAAGAGCAGGGCTACCCCTCTGGGCAGCACTGAGCTGTGAGCTGAGCTCAAACCAGCTGTTCATCAAACCGCATTCAGCAGTTGCATTTTCACAATGTTGGCAAAAGCTTCCACAGTTGTACCTTCATCTGCTTCTATCCAGACTTTTCTCCTTCCCTCCCTTCTTCCACGAAACCTTCTCTCCCAACAAACCGGATGCAGTAGCATTGAGAGGAGAATTAGAACACAGTAGCACTGACTTAGGTCAGCTTGAACCGGCACTGAAACATATTCTAACCCAAATCAGGTGTTTCACTTTAGGGCAAAACTGAAGTTACAAAAATTGGTAGCAACCAAACACTCAGTAACAAATTAAGGACAGAAGATACTTGGTAATGAACGAAGGAGGAAGAAGCAGAATGCACAAATAACAGAGCACAACCATTGCATCCATGCTTTATAATCTGACTGGTAACATCTCATTCTCTGCAACATAGTTAAGACTGGTTAGTATTTGGAATAGGTTACACTAAGCTATATTATATTTGTAAGCCAACTCCACGTAATTCCTTACTGGAATTTTTCTTTCCCAAAGAAGAAGCTGTAATAATGTTCCTGGGAATTGCATTCACTTGCATATGTCTGACTATATGCTAGCAGGCTGCATTCTTAAACGCAGATATAAATGTCATCTCTTCTTCCTAAACTCCCCACCCAAACAAACAATTTTATACATACAATGCAGGGAAGCAGCAAAATTAACTCCACATATTACAAGCTCTAGCTGGAATAAAACCGTATTTTTTAAAAATTGATCTTTCATTACTAAAAAACCCTCTTTTTACAATTAAAGCATACGAATATTACAAGTGAGGCATTTTAATACATAAAAGTGACAATGCATCTAAAACAATAATTTAGAAATAATACCATTCTGTGAGATTAGAGCTTTAAATATACCTACAGCAAAGACTTTGTGCATATGAACAGAGAACAGCAAAGGGAACACCACCACTTCCAAAACCTGTTTTATAACAGCACTGGGATAAAACTGTAAACTTACATTGTACTATTAATGCACACTTTTATGTAACCATACAGAGGAAACTGTGGCATAATTTCAGTTTTCAAGCTAACACGAAATTATAACCAGAAAGTTTTAACATTATTTTAAGACCCAATTTCCTTATTTTTCACTTCTGTTTAACTACAGGATTTTTTCCTGCCCATTCTATAAATTAGCAAAATCACATCAAGGTATTAACAGAAACGGACAAACAAAAGAAAAAAATACAAGATTGAATTCTAACAAATAAAATTTAAAAAATTAATCTAGGACATGATTTGAATCTGAGTGTTTTAATCTCTTTCTTGTCTGTAATCAAATGCCCAATGGTGCCTGGGACACTAAGCACGATACTTATCTTACCTGTGGCTGGTTTTTTACATGCCTTTTGATCATATTACAAGATGATGCTATTGAGACGACACTGTCACTGTTATGCCTCTTTTGTAAATTCAAGGAATTTTCATTTTAGTTACTTAGATGTGCAGGAAGGCTTTCCAACACTGTATGCTGACCTGTGATCCATGCTGATCGCTGCCATTGTTCACCATTGACACGGTTCCCTTTTTCTTGTGCTTAATTCTCGGCACTTTTTCTGCCTCAAAAAATCTAGCTTGATCACCGTACAGTTGACTGAAAATATATATAGCAAATACGTTACAAGGCAAAGGAATTTTTAAAAGTGAGATAAACAAGTGCTCTGAAACAGTAAATAAAATCTCTTTAAAAATTTTACATTGGCATTCAAATTAAACCAGAATTTACATTGCATCCATACACATTTTTATGGACCTGGACACTTACATAAATCATTTTATGTTACAGGGAACAACATTTTTCTCTGAAGCATTTCATAGCGGGTTTTTTTTTGAGAGGGGAGGAGGTGGGAGGGTGCATTTGTATGTTTTTAAATGCAGCATATAACACTTCTCTAAGGCACGAGGCAAATACGTATTTTGATCAGTAAGTTCTGTAAAAATAAGCTAATCGACACTGTAAAAACTTATGTCACAAAGTTGTCTTCGAAGATAAATGAAAAGTCACTAAATTCTATGTGTAACCTTAGGTGATCACACAGACAGGACTGCATACAGTAATTTGAGATACTCAGGATACAGCAAATGGTTAAATTATTTTTAATTTTTTAATTCTAACCCTGATATCACTCATTTCGTCTCCATAACTGACAGTGGCAGTGTCAATACACACATTCACCCAAATTTAAGGACAGTGTTCTGTTTGAACTCATTTTGCTGAGCAGGTGTAAGCCTCTATGAAGAGAGGATTCAAATTAAATTTTGCCTGCATCAGTTTCCTGGGGAGCAAGAACAGAAACTCCAATTTCGTGGACTTCAGCAGTAATGAACAGGTAGAAAAAATAAACTGCCATTCCCTATGCTAGTAGCAGAACAGAATCTGTCATTCTCTCATCACTCTATACTTCCCTATCCGCCATACCAAAGAGCCTCAGAAGACCAATCCTTATAAAAGAGTAGAATATCAAAATAAACTTGATCCACCCACGTGCTCGGGTCCAGCAAGTTTACCTACTTGGATTTGTATCTGCTTAGTACAGTTACACTGCTTCCAGGATCACCAGAGTGATGATCCGTGTATCCAGGTTTTCAAGGTTTTGTATTTAAGAGGATCTAACAGACCAGACTTACAAGAGCCAATATCGGTCTAGCAGCGCTGTCTCTGTTCAGACCGAACTATTTATCTCTGTACATGGTGCTCCCCAGCGTTTCAGGTTTAGTTCTGCTCTGTAATTTTAATTCTACTTGGAATAACAGTTTCAAAGGAATCGTATAGAACATATGCACCTTGCTATCTTCCATCTTAGCTGTTTTTAAAGATTTCTTCAACTTTCATGTGCATGACCACTGAAAACATCTTAAACAAGGAAGAAAAGTGATTTCCTTATACACATTAAACATGACTAAAATGAACCTAAATTTTTAGAGCAACAGGACTTCTTTCTTATACACAAAGGAAATCAAGCATAGCCTTTATATTGCCCTCTTGCTCAATTAAATATATTGTGTTACACAAATAAAAGTAGCAAAAAACTGCTAATGATTTTGCCTTCTACAGGGCACTTAGTTAGGATACTTCTCTTACAAAAATCAAACCTATAATTATTTGCTAACTTTTAAATAAACAGACAGTTATGCACAACTTGTTAGTTGCAACTTTGCTTCTAAGGTCAGAGATAGAATGCTGTCAAGAAAAAAAACTGAATGGACAAAGGCACCATAGGAATTAAAAAGGTATTTAGGTATGACAACCAAAGAAGCTTATGCATCAACATTTTCACCTCCCATCAGTAATTCTGCCCCAAGAGAGCTGAAGTCAATCTAAGTTGATTGATTAGGAACCCCTAATCAATCCCTACACAACTTTTCTGCCGATTAAGTAACACCAAAGTTTTACTCACCAGAATATGGATTCCCCTCCACGGCCAGTTCCCATGGGGTCACCGGTTTGTATAATAAAATCCCTCTGTCACAAAGCAGACTACGTAAGACATTGCTTTCATATTTGTGACTTTAAACCAACAAAACCATAGAGAATCGAGAATACTCACCTGTACATTATAAATGAGACAATAGTTGTAGTACTTGACTTTGCAGAGCTTCAGAAAATTCAGACAAGCTGTAAGAAATTGTACTAACGTTTACTAAAGAAAACCCCAGATATAATAAGTACAGATACAGAAGATATTCAGTTCAATGCGTAGAAAAGTGTTTTTAGAGCAGACTGTGTTAAGACTTTGCAGCGTACAACCCGTAAACGCTGTGAGACATGCTCTAAGGAGCGGTAACACCTCCTCCCTCCCTAAAGCCTACCTCTAGTGATGCAGAGAACCCTAAATACAGACAATCATACAGAAACGCATTTTTTTTCCGCCCAGTTTCTTTTCAAACACCTAAGACAGAAGATCACAGTTGCCATTCAGTTTAGAATACATCACATCTTCTCGAGTTTTTAAACAAGCATGCATTACATGTATAATAAACACACAATTAAAAAAAAATCCAAACTTCCCACCACCACCTGATGCTTGTGAGCGTTTCAAAGACACACATACAAGCAACCCACGCGGACTGCTGACGGCCAGGGCAATCCTGGCACTCATTTTGGATCTAATCCCAGGACTGGGGTCCGACGTGACGTGCCAAAACACAGGGTGGGACAAGGCGAGCTGTGGGGTGCGCCCACCGGGCCGAAGCCCGCTCCTTCAGAAGGCCGCGCCGGCAGCTGAACACC